GCAGAAGCAATATGGCTGAATACGGTGCAGTGTCTGATGATAACAGGTTTATCCACTCATAATGAGAGAGGCGAAAACCGAGATGGAAGAAAAGCGTGGGAATACTGCCGAGAGGCGACTACGCGGGAAAAGGACAAACACGCAAGTCGTAGAGCCTGTACTGTGAACTCCTCTCTCTCACAAAGCAAGCAACGAGACCGTTACTGATTATATTATCCGAGAGGGAGACTATATTCACGTCTTTGAGAAGGGACGAAGAAATATCATTCAGTGACGGGTTGCAGATTGCCCATGGTAGTGAAGGTGTTAACGGACTCATTCAGAACCCGTTGTGCATCACTCAAACTGACACGACCATTCTAACGTTCGGTGAGGTTCAAGAGCTAACTACGGAGCTTATGAGAGCAACTGACAAATGATAGGAGGAGTGGGTCATCAGCGGACGGGACGGCGTTAAGGGGGGGGTGAACTAGCGGCGAGGACACGAGGACCGTGTGAAGAGGGAACGACAGATGGACTAGATCACACTGAATGCTACAACACTGCGGAAAGATGGGGCATCATGGGCTAGGAACATGCCTAACGGAGGGATCCAACGCGAGGCGAGAAGAGGCGGACGATGGGCACGCCCACCGAGGAAGCAGGACCGAGGCAGAGGCTAGGGCCGTGATCAGAGTGGCCAGAAGGCAGACGGAGACAACGGAGGGTAGCATCACCGGTGGCTCATCATCTTTCAAAATATAGGTGACTGTCAAAATCAAGTGGCAAATTAGAGAAGTACTTATGGTCGACTGTGGTGAGCCACGACACACATGATGTAATGACCCGGCAAAGTTAACAGACAATCGATTAAGAGCTTTAGCACCGAGGACCATGTGATAGAGCCTGGCAGATGGAACGAAAACGACCGGCGATGGCGAAGATGAGAGAGGAGAAGGACTGAAGTTGTTCTGCTCGACAGCGAGGGACGGCAAAGGTGAAAACGCAGGCTCAAACCGAAGCGGCTTTTACATCCCATCTTTCATCCACAGGACATTTTCTCCGTGAAGAGCGCGACAGCGCAGTGCGAGCTGAGGTCCGCTTCAAAGACGGAACGTGAGATGATTGGCTGATTCATCAATAGGTATCAAAGTTTAAAAGGATGTGGTATGGTAGGCTATATTACCTTAGCACAGTAGAGGATGGAAAATACTGATGATGTTTGTAATGGTTTCATGACATCCAGACATGACATAGATACTCTGGTCTATGTAATTTTGAGGATGTGTCCGACAACTTGAGAGAAGGTGGTGTAAAAGGTAGGTCGATCAAAGGGAAACATGACATGTCTAACCACCATATCTGTGAAATATATAGCGGAGGAAATGTACTCAGCAGAAACAGGCAGGCAGATGCGCAAAAGCTAAGACAGTACTAGAGCTAGTACATACAGACCGTATGCGGTCCCATAGAACCAGCAGATAAAGACGGGTACAGATACTTGCAATAGGCATTTACTGATGATTATAGTGGGATGATTTTTCCAAAAAAAAAAACCAAGCTACTTTATCAAGGCAAAGAGTGATAGCAGCTAAAGCTACTGAAAAATTCATTAGCGGATACTGGCTCCATATGGACACATTAGTCGCATAAGATCTGACAACGGTACTGAATTTACCGTGCATGAGTTTCAAAACTTTACTTAGGACGAAAGGGATTAAGGGCACGAGCACAAGTGCCCCATACTCAGCCTCACCAGAACGTACTGGCCGAGAGAGTTGGAGCGACCTTATTTGGAGATGTCACGATGCATGGCTACTAGAGAGTAACCTCCCAAAGCAGTTATGGACATATGCTCGTACAAACAGCAGCACAGATACGTAACAGGTGTTACTGTAAGCGTCTAGAGCAGACAGCGCATACCGTGTTTTTACTACGGCAAAAACACCGACTTGTCCAACATGAAAATATTTCGGCTGTGAATGCTACGGGTATAAGCAAGGATGACCAGAAGGAAGCTAGATTCTAGATGTGCAAAGGGTATTTTTGTAGGATACGGACAAATATAGCCCAGCATTCCAAGTATCTTATCCTGAGACAGGGGAAAGGTCCTGAAACATAGGGCTGGTAAAATGTATTCACCAAAGAGTAGCGCAGATAGTCACAGACTCAGACAAATCATAATATGGATTTTGACACTTATGGAAGAAACTAATCCCAACAACACCAGCAGGGACAAAAATGGTGCAGCCAGCGAAGCAGCAGAGAGCCTAATGTGTGTGTAGCAGTCCTATGATGAGGAGAATATTGAGGCCAGTCAGATCCAGACAAGATGGTACCAAGAGAGGCAGGGAGAGAGCGGCACGACGCTATCCCACTAGACAAAGAAACGCTGCAGAATAATTTAACGGGATATCAGTGTAAGGGTGATTGTAATTGGATCGAAGGTGAAAATGTAGATTATTTCTAGCAGGGTTGCTTGTGACCGTAACCAAAAGCAATACATGGCAGGCTGTAGGCTCAAAGAAAATCAAAAATGTGGGCCTGATGCAATAAAGAGGAGATGAACTCTTTAACAGAGAATGAGACTTCAGTCTGACTAACACTGCCAAAGGGCACAGCAAGCAGTGGGAGGTCGTTGGGTTATTATGTGCAGTAAAGGAAAGCTCAGAACGAGTCTGAGATTTTTAAAGCCAAGATATGAGCTAGCTAAAAGGCTATAGTTCAAGTAGACGGAATTGATTACAAGGAAACTTTTTCAACGACCAGGGCAAATAGTGACTTCGTACCGTACATTGATGCAGGTGGCTATATCAGGATGGTCATCTTATCCTATCAAATGGATGTGAAGACAGCTTTATCTCATGCACCAATAGACGTGAGTTACATATGGAACAGCCCGAAGGCTTTTGAGGCAATCATCTAAATAGGTGGAACAATTAGTGTGCAAACTCAACAAGTCATTGTATGAGTTTAAAGCAATCAGCGGGGCGAAACTGGACTCAACAAGTTGCCGCATGATCATATAACAGAGAATGGGGTTTGTGCAAAAAGATGCTGATCATCCATTTGTGTCCTACAGAAAAGAGTCTGAGAAAAGAGAAGAGTTATTCTGTTGATATGGGTTCTAGTAGATGACCTACTCGTATATTAGCGGCCATAACAACGGCTCACTCAGTGATGTTCAAAGAGATGTTGAAGAGGAAAGTTTAAAATGTAGAGATTTGGGGACTTAAACACTTCCTATTAGGTATCGACTTTACAGCACAGAGTGAGGGGGAGATCAAAATGGAGCCAAAAAGAGACACATAGCAAAGATTTCGTAGAGAGCTTTGGCATGTCAGAGTGCAAACCAAGGTCAACTCCATGTGAGCAAAAGTTACATTTTGACACTGAGGGTGAAGTTATCGATTCAACAGGATACAGAGAGATAGTAGGTAGCTTGATATACATTATGACATGTACTAGACCTGATCTGAGCCGGATTGTGAGTAAACTATCACAACACTTAGCAGAACCAAAACAACAACATTGGGCTGCATCAAAACAACTGTTGAGGTATCTAAAGGGTACAATAGACCAAGAGCTACATTACAAGAAAAGTGAGGAAAGCCTAAAGCTTGAGGGATACAGTGATGCTGATTGGGCAGCCGATCAAAACGATAGGAGAAGCACAACTGGATATTGTTTCAGCTTAACTGAAAATGGTCCAGTTATATCCTGGAAAAGCAGGAAGCAGCCAACAGTGGCGCTATCGACCTGTGAGGCCGAGTACATGGCATTAGCGGCTACTACTCAAGAGAGCATGTACCTTGTACAGTTATTAAAAGTGGTAGACCATAATAGCCCACATGTACCAGTGAAGATATATGAGGACAACCAGGGAGCAATAGCTCAATCCAAAAACCCTGTATCCAGACAAAGAAGCAAGCATGTAGACATAAAATACCATTTTGTACGATCTGCACATGCTGAGGGGAAGATATCTATTACATATTGTCCAACTGCAGACATGGTAGCTGATGTCCTAACCAAGCCTTTGACAAAGGCACAATTTGACAAGTTCAAAGGGTATTTGTTTGGAGAGTAATGTAAATTGCAGGTATACAAATTGAACACTGCTAGAGAAGCTTTTGTTTTGTTTATTTGGATTCTGTGTACCACTGTAGAGAGTTATCAACATGTCTTTGAGTGGGAGTGTTGAGCATATTTGTATAATATCAAAGTCATGTTTATGTTCATGTGTATGACATCATCATAATGTGCCTGAAAAGTGGTGATGCTAATGAGCATGCGCAGAAACAATAAATGGCTCTTACTCCAGGCCAAACTCTGAGCGATAGTGGTCGTGTGTTTTTTCTGTCCGTTAGCATACTTACACTACTTTCGCTGACTGCAAACGTGGAGACGTCTGCTGAATTATGTCTCACGGAACAATATCTACTAAACTACAGCATACAAATACAGAGAGTAATGTAGGCCTGTTATACTGAGTGATATATATTTTACACACTGCTCTGCTTTCTGCACGGACCTCACAGCTGTTCTCACTGTAAACATCGCACCGTGATGAAAGCAGTTAATAAAATAATATCCAGGGGATGCATGCAGAGCTGTCATTGGCTGAGATAAGTCCGGCCGTGCGTCACGACTCCATCGTTCCCGGAAATGCATCCGCGAAGGAGCCGTGGAGGATGCATCAGTGTATCCTCGATCATAGCTCCTTCAGAGAGCCTCCTTGATGCTCAGTCCTCGATGTGCATTTAGAGAAATTAGATGTCCTTCAACATGGCGGGCTGAAATCCATTTCCGGGTCACTACTGGAGGACCGAGGAGTCGAGGAGGGGAAATTAGAGTATTGAGAAGCCTTCGTTGACTCATGTGACTTACTTTGATGTCCTTTTTAGATGGGATGCCTAGACTTCAAACACTAAAACACAGACTCATATATCATCATCAGAGCTGTTGGTAATCCTCTTATGTTTCCTAAAGAATGACTCTCCTCACTGTTTCTTTGAAGGTCATGCAGCAGGAGCTGGAACAGCTGACCAAGGAGCTGAGGCAGGTTAACCTGCAGCAGTTCATCAAGCAGACCGGCACCAAGGTCACAGTGCTGCCGGCTGAACCCTCCGAGGAGGACAGTCCTCACAGCACGCATGGCATAGGTAAAAGCTAAAAAATTAGCTTAAAACTTTCTTACTAACATTAGATTTGTGGAATTTGTTCTCTTAGGGGATATGGTTTGGAGTTTAATTTCAACTCAAGTGAAGTCATATATAGTGTTATGTATGCCAAGGTATCTCTTCCTGTTGTTCTATGACATGTAGGGAACTGAGCTGGTGACTACAGTGCAGACAGTAACATATACGGGTCGCTTATTGTAAGTAATGGTCCGTGAGGAGTTAAAACGGAATTGTATGTCAAACTGCATACTGCCTGAGGTTAAACGCTTTATGATTGCCATTCAAGCAGGCATCTCATGACTTATTTCAATAAGAGTGCATGAAGTGCTGTTCTTTTCCATCAAGGCACTTTTATTATTTTTTCCTCATATCTTAACTGCCTGCTGAGAGAAAATGACTCAATTGTGAGGGTGCGTGCGTGTGAGAGAGATTGTTATCAAGAAAATTATGAGGGGGGCGGGGGGGGTTGTGGATGTGGAGAGAACAGTGTTAGTTTTTACCCACTCCAGTGGCTATTATAGTCACCATGCCAACAGCTGCCTGGATACTGGCAGAAATAGTGTCATTCATTCACCTTACTCTCTCTGTCCGTCTCACTGCTTCCATCACGCTGTCACTCTATCACATGCTCAGCAGTTTCTGTGATGGGCTCATTGTGCCAAGGCTCATCCTACAGCAGAAAAGCAGAGAGCTGACGCAGAGCTAAGAACCTTGATTCATGGGACAGCTGTCACAATGCAACATTTGTTGACCAGCTGGTTATTCAAACTACAGTCATAAACCACCCACAGCGTAATTAGTGACTAAAGGTAATTAAGATTGACTTTGAGGAGAAAGTTTGAGGTTTGGGACTAAAGCGTTTAATCGTGTTTAAATCAGGGACATGCACCACTTTGTAAAAATAAGCTTGGGAGCAATAAGACTTGAAAAATAAAGTGTGCAAACTAAAGCACAGGAATACATATCTAAATGCACATTTACATGCAAACACATTAAACTAAACCTCCCACCATGCCATGAATAATTTAGTTTTCCACATGCACCCTGCCTATAAAACTGTATGTAAAAGTTGCTTATGGGATTCCATGCTGCACTTGAAATGTATAAAAATAATAAAGATTGCACACCAGTCTACTCATGCATGAATCACATGGTTGTGTGAAACATGGAAAAACATATGGAGAAATAACTTGACGCAGTCATAGTGATGGTGACCTTTTTCCCCTTGATTTAAGATTAAAGATGTAACACAGTTGAATTTCTCCCCTCTCCAAAGAGCCAGATATCTTTCTGATTGCATGACATGCACTTCATCATTGCATGCATTGAGAGCAGTAGGTCTCTTTATTAAACCTAGCAGTGATGGATTTCAATTATAAAAAAGTAATGAATTGAGTGTTCATGTCCTTCTAGTAACCTTCCATTGTATGTGTGTAAAATAAGCTTTGGTGCCAGGCCATAACAAATCTCTGCATCGGCTGATTCTCTGCTTGGCTCAGTACTGCCCCCTGGTGGCTCATAGCAGCGATATCATGTAGCATCCACTGGGCTTCATTGTTATATTCAAACAAGTAATTTAATGATGTTTCTTATCAATTTGAAGTGATTGGAAAAACAAAAAGCTACAATATGTTTGTGTAAAATCTCTCTGTTTATTTTCAGCAATACAACTTTTAAAACCCACATTTTTTCTTCCTTATGTCTTTTTAATTTTTAAGATTTAGTTCCCCTGTCTGGCTCCCTGAAGCGCCCCGTTTCACATGCAATGTCTAGTCACCTCCGGGTCCTCCACAGCCCCCTGACTTCAGGCCTGAACCCAGAGGGGATCTATGTGTGAACCGTCTCCCACCCTGAGCCCAGAACACACGTCTGTAAGTGGATATCTTTGTTCAGGATACTTCAGTGGAACTCTACTATGCACTGTCTCGAATACAGGAGGCACCCTGGAGTGTGAAGACTCACAGAGTGAAGGAACAAAGATGATTTTGACAAGGAAGTCATAGAGCACTTAGTGGGAATGAAAGATGTAATGGTGCTCAGTTTCTGAACTTACGAGGACTTCAAAATCAATATCAGGCTGTTGTGGACGTCCTTTATAAACATATCCACTTAACGTACTTTTACTCTCACTTTATTACCTACTGAATGATTTGTATTGTTTTCTCACTTGCATCATGATTCTAAACGATTGCCTTTTGAACAGTATTCTTGACAACCTTGGTATGTGAATTTATGAATTATACCTCTAAAGTTATATGTATTTTCGGCAGTGAAAACAGCATAATGAATTGTTCTTATATAAGAAAGGAAGGATCCACTTGTGTCAATACTAAACCAGTCTAGAATATATCGTTTTGCATATCAGAATGTATTCCTGTAGCTCTGATTGTCTGTTCATGTTAAAACTATGCACAACTGGTCAATAGTTTTGTTACCGAAGAATGTTACTGTCCGTATGTACCAACATGTTGGCTAACTGTAAATATGTTTTCTTACTTTTCAGCTTTATTTAGAGAATTATTATATTTTATTACAGAGGTTACAGAATATGCAGTGCCCTCATTCCCGCTACAATGTCTGCATAATGAAACAGTGTTAATTACCCTCTTAAGCTTTTATTTGTTGTTTAGATGACTACATGGTATGTTTTTGCCAAATGTATTATGCTTTTTTTGTCTGTGTAAGGATTGGTGGCCAAAGATTAGCAGGTCTTGTTGCATGATTGTCATACTATAACCATACATGGATGTGCAGAGCACCCGCAGTACAGTAAATCAGTTAGTTGAATCTAAAAATGGTGGCATGCTATAATACAATGGATAGCTACGGTGTGTATGAGAGTGTGATTGAGTCAGCGATTAAAGAGATTTGTGTGTGTGCAGGGTCGGGAATGTCAAGGTATGAAGCCCCTCTTAGGTTGTAGTGCAGCTGCTAATCACATCAAAGTGCCTTATTCATTCCACAGTTGGTGTGTTCATATGATGACAGCAAAGCTTTAGTAGAAAACATTGAAGCAATGATCTAGTCAGTTTAGATCTGATGTTGCTAGATGTATTAGTGGCACATTGCTGCACAGAGAGAAATGGCAATAGCACAGCATCAAAGAGAAAACTGTAATCATGTTTTTGTCAGTATTTTATAAAAAAAATCAATGGAGAAAATGTTACTGATAGCGTGTCTCATTCTGACAATGTATTATTGACACCATCATACTATGTGATGTAAAATGCATTTACATTATCCGATTTATTTTGTCATCATACAACACATACTGTTTACTGTAATTACCAGAATAAGAAATGTATTGATCCTGAGAGATATATATTAGAGTTAGAGAACATCAGTACCATTATTACATTACATGTTAGACGCTTTTATCCAAAGCGACTCACATACTCAATACTGTGGGCAATCCCCACAGGAGCAATTTGGGGTGAAGTGTCTTACCCAGGGACACAACGACATGCTGACTGCAGTGGGGTTTGAACCTGTGATCCACTGATCCGAACACCAACGCACTAGTCCAATGCACCACAGCCTCCTGGGTTCCATCACCCAGGAATAACTAGTAAATGTAAAACAGAAGCAAAGTCCACCCTTTAACATTTAGCATCTACAAAAACCCTCATCAGGACATACCGTTTTAAATTCTTAGGTTTGAGATAATCTCTATATCGGGGCAGAATTTCCCTTTAAGAAATCACTTGTGTGCATTGTCCACCTGTGGATGAGATGTAGTTTTGGTCACTGTTTACAACCATATAATGTTCTATAGAACTGTACGATGTCAACTGTACATAACCTGTTTTTATTTTTGTCCTGCCTTAATATACTGCAAGTGTTGACAGATGTATGGCTGTAACTGGCTGCTGATATGACATGGATTGCATGATTCAATAAACCATCTGACAAAATGAAAAGTGTCACAACCGGTGCTCATTGTAACGGTTTGCCTGTGGATGTAAGGGAGAAGGTGTTTGTCCAGTATGTGCTCTTCATGCGTTTCAATCCTTTCGCCAGTAGATGGAGACATTTACTCAGTAATGGTAGAAACAGGGTCACAACATGGCTGGGAGAAAATTAAAGGAGAAGCTTGTTTTTCCCACAGAAGAATGAAATTACAAGAAATGCCAGTTTATAAAATGCATATTTATGCAATAACAAAAAAGGTTTATAAGAGTGAGTAGCCGGTAAAAGAAAAGCCAAAGTTGCTCTCATGGGTCAATGATAATACTGAGCTACAACTGTGAATCCCATCAGGTCATACTTTATTGTAATTTGAGGTGAGAAAGGAAAGGTTACTTACAAAAAAGGAGCAGCAAATTGCATGTTTTTTTCCCAAACCTTGAAAGGCATAGTTTGACTGTAACTGGACTGCATTGTTGCCAGGATCATTAGAAATCCTCACGTCAGAGACATGAGTTTCAAAGCTGTTGAAATGATGCATAAAGATTAAAACTATATTGCAGATAGTCAGTACATGTTAACAACAAAGACTGGGTTTGATCCTGCTTAAAGCTTCTGACAAGTGTGGATGAGGCCCCTTGTTTTTCATCAGCGTGTACAGACTGAGTGTAATCTCACTTCATCATCACATGACATGTGTTTAAAGCCTTGGTCTACTGTACACTGTAAATTCCCTGCTGTGACCTGTCAGCTGATTAAAGTCTGAGCAACAATACATTTCATCTACTAGCCTTCCAGTAGTGTGTATTCATAATACTGTACTCTGAACTGTTTTGTGCAAACACTCGTGCATTGTTTCCCAAGTCAGAAATTTGACATGTACGTAGTTGTTGGAAAAGTTTCACACATTCTCACTGAGCTTTCCTGCTTTTGCTAACATTTGAGACTGTAGGCATAAACAGAATTTGTGTTGAACAAGAAGAAGTCTGTAGAGTTTAGTTTTGATATTTATTTTACAACTCATCAGCAATAATTTAGAACAGCATATGTGTAAAGCATTAACGAAATGTGCAACAGTTGCTCAGTTAAATCTTTTAAAAAATCCATAGACTTCTACAACATTGACATAGACATGTATACTTTATGGAATATTCACAAAAATACTTCTATTTACAGACACACATGCCACTTTATATAACAGTGTATAACAGATTTGAGGCAAAACCAGCTGAAGTAAAATACGAAAGCAATATCATGTATGCAAAATACAATGAAAATCTGTTTATTCTGTCACGTGTGAAACATAAAAAGTGGAACAACACTACATTGCAGGAATCTTAATCTCTTAGAAAACAGGCCAAGTTAAAGATCCTAAATCTTCATTATCAAGTGTAGGTCACATGACCACAGCTGCTTCAACACGTAAGTCAAATATTTGAAAGCAAGGTTTTACATAATGAAATCATAAAAGACACAATCAGGGATCGTGTTGTAGGGTGCAGGGTTTTCAAATCTGATTATGATTTGAATTTGTGCAAGTCAAAAACAGAAATAAACATTGTTTTATCAAATCTGGCTTCATCACCCATTTACTACATTAATTAATCTCAAAGCATTTGGTATCTCTGCTCTCTCTTCTGAAATGAAACGAAATCTTTTTATTTCAAGACAACTCAACACAATACAAAGGTTCTGAGAGAACTACAGTGTTTGACTTTCAAAATGATGAGGAGACTGTTTGGGGGGAGTAAAAGCAAAAGAAAGGTGCATTTTAAAGAGTAAAGATCATCCTACATACAAACTTTACCAGCTGGGAAAATACAGGTACATTCAATATCAAAGATCTATAAGGTGCTATCCTACAATGTTTCCTGGAGGTTCAGGAGGTCACTGCATCTCTGTGCTGAGATGCTTCATTCCATTCGGGGGACATACAATATTCTGTTCAAGCAGCTCCTTGTGAATAAAGGGTTTCTGAACTAATTCACTGATTGGTTTTTCTTTACTTCAAGTACAAGAAGTAAAGGAAACTCAGATCTGTACAAATTAGTTGAGGGCAACCAGGCATAATACGTTAACTTTTATATCATCATGTATTGTTTTTATGTGTAAAGTAACTGTTTTTGTATGTATTGATGGAGATGGAGTGTCTGATGGTGGGATCAATGACAGTTATACCTCCCTGTCAGCCTAACCCGTGCACAATTGGGGATGAGGTGCTGTGGGCGTTTCATTTCTCGAGAGCACTTATTTTATAGGGCCATTTACATGTCAATCAGCAAGACTGTCTTTCAGGTAATAATATTTACAGTCAAAGCCAGCCAGGCTCTAGCAACCTTGGCAGAGGTCAGTTGTAACTTCATACATCCAAAGAGACTCGCTGAATGGGATATTGCGCACTGTTGTCGTACTCAAAGTTTGGCACCAATGCTGCCACTTCAAAATATGTTATCAAAGAGGATACAAAATTAGCTCCAGAACAACACAGCCGTGTATTTATGTCAATCATTGTCGATAATCCTTTAGATTTATTAATCTAGCATAAGTGCAAAAGGCACACTTCGTCACAACTGTCCCCTGTTTCGCCAGGATATTGAACATGAGAAACTCTTCTGTGAAACCTCGTTTTAAAACTAGTCTAATTTGATGAAAATAAACTCCTCAACAGGAAGGTTAACAGACAAATTAGCTGTTTTGACAAACAGAAAACTGATCGTGCGGGCTATTCTTGCTCTCCGACGCATCAGCTACGTCATCCTCCTCTTCGTCACTCGCGGGACTTTCCTCGCGCTCATCTGGTGAACCTATGTCAGCCTCGTGCAGCTCGTCGCTGTCTGGACTGTGAGAGTCGTTGGACTGAGGAGAGGCTCCAAAGTGCACAGAGAGTCCAGGGAAAGCGGCTGCAGCAGCCGCGGCCGCTGACGCTTGTGCGGGGTAGAGCCAGGGGAAAGGGGAGGCAAGAGCCGCGGCAGGGTACATGTACTTTTCAATGTTGCTTTTGTCGAAAAAAGGCATATAAGACGCCGCGGCTGAGGGGTTGATGAAGTAGAAAGGCATGCAAATGGGTGTCTGCTGTCCCACACTGCTTATTCCCATCAGAGAGTTCATAAACGCCAGGTCGGGTCTGGTGGGGTCAGTGCCCCCTAACCCGTTGCCAGGCCAGGTCATCTTTGGTTTTTTGGCAGCGCGATCGTCTCCAAACTCTTGCTTGATCTTCACTGCCTTGGGTCCCTGCGCCTTATTGCGGTCACATTCTTTATCTTTGCCATCAATCTTTTCCGCCTCGCCCCCGTATCCACTGTCCGTGTCTGTGTCATTCTCGTTAAGCTCCCCGCCTTGGGTCCTCTGGATGACCGGGACACAGTTAGCTTGGCCGTCGGCTTTCTGACCATCATGTGCCTCCCCCGCGGGAAGCTGGTTCTGGAGCTGCGGTGCGCCTGGCTGGAACTGCGCCAGCACCTTGTGAAGGTGGCTGATCAGCTGCGCGCACCTCTCCTCTCGTGCAGTCCAGTTTTCAAACTGACTCAGGTACTGCAGGACTTCTTTGGCACATGCCTGGAACCCGGAGTGGAACGCATCAAGATCTGCATGAATGGACGTTTTCATCGACCGGTCCCCTGCAAAATAGTTGCAAGGATAACATTATTATTCTAAAGGTGTATAATAAAGCAATGACAAGACATGATTCTGTTAACGTATTTTCGAATTGCACAATATTTTCTTTGTTATATTCAAGTACATTTTCTTCTGCTGTAAAACTAGACTTCCTCGGACTATTAAAGTTTAATGCAACACATTTATATATTAACTTCAGGTTTGTCAGCTCACCATTCTGCAAAGCGACAATCTTCTGGTGCTGCTGCTCAGTGACAGCAGTCAGAGCGTTTAAATGTTTCAACGTTAACTCCAGGACAACAGCTTTCTCCAAATGCCCGAGTGTCTATTGAGAGAAACAAAACTTATGTTCAGTTAGCTGTTTAAGACAACTAATCTCATGTAAAGCCATATTCGCGTAAAAACCCTTTGCAGTGTCATGGACTCACCGACAGCTTCAGATGTTCGGGTAACAAATCCTTCAGCTGGCCAATACATTCGTTGATTCTGTCTCTCCTCTTCTTCTCTATCAACCGGTGTGGTAACTTGTATGCTTCCTGCTGGAAATAAACAGGCATTTGGCGTTTTTAAACACACATTGATATATCTATTTAAAGTTATTGTAGTACATGTGAACATATCCATGAGTTTCATGCACACACAAATGTTGGTTCATGAAACAACAAACTACATTTTGTAGATCGCATTATAGCCTATAATAAACCTTACGCACCTTCCCACCGTCCTCTCGTTTTATTCCTCTTTTTGCTTTGCACATGTAGAGAGAGGGGTAATCCACCCTAAAGTCAAGAATGACGACAGATTATTCACCAGGTTGTCATAACAGTTGATCAGACAGTTTGACAGAGTTTGCCAAAAGCGACACTCACCCTAAGAAATCTGCGTGCTCCATGAACTGCCTGTCCTCTAAATGCGGTATTCTTTCATCCATCGTTTCTCTGCTGCTGCTTATCCACCCCGGAGCTTCTTTTGGGAATGTTTGTTATTCCACGACTCGCACACACGCTATGCCGGCTGAGGGAGATGATGCACAGTGCGTGTCCTCCAGTGGAGCTGCTTTTCAGACTGATGTCTATGCTTCCCTGAGCTGCCACTTTGCACAGCCGTCGGTGCTGTGGTTAGAGCGCACGCGCGCTTTGGGTAGGGAACAGCTTCCGACTCACGTGTAGCCTCAGCCTGCACTAGCACAAAGCCCGGTAATTAGACCTGCTCTGTTAGAGCACCGCCGCTGTTCCTATAGAGATCCAGTTCAAACACTTCTGACCCGGCTGCTGAAACGTGATTCAACATGATTTGAAAATGTAGCAGGGGAAAGTCTGCATGCAAGCTTGAGGGATGACAGAATAATGCATCATCTCACTGTTAATGCATCTCATATAATGTGGGTCCTTAACTTTGCAGCTCGAGCTGTGACTGCTGGCTGATAAGTGATCTAATGTGATAATGTTTTAATGCTGCTGCAACAATTCAATTAAACAATCACCTATTTATCTGGCAGTTTGGAGTCTAATTAAATTAAAATGCAATATTGAAGATTTGATCTCAACATTTAAATTGTTTGCGTTGGCAAAAAATTTAAATGTTGAGATCAAATCTTCAATATTATATTTTAAATAGTTAGGCTCCAAACTGCCAGATAAATTGGTGATTGCTGTCATTATTAGAAAGACATGACCAAATTAGTTTGCACACATTCACAGTTTAGAGAAAACCCTAGTGCTCCACCATCACTTAATACAAACGAAGATTTGTTTTCCTTCTGCTTATTAAAAACAACTGGGAACCTCCTGATCTCTCCATAACAAGAAAAACACATGCTAAAATAAAAGTGAAGAAATTGAGATTAATGGGAAGTAAACACAGTGAGTAAACAAATATTGGAGGTGTGTGTCTGATCACACCATGTTGTTGCCCGGATCAGGGCAGGGTAACCTATTCATACACCTCGAGCTGTTCAAAGCTGCGTTGACAGTAACCATGGCACCCAGCTGTGTGCTCAAACACGTGTGTAGAGATGCTCTATTAATCTGAGGATGGGTACTTCTCTCCCCACCTTCATCTCACTATCTCTGTCTAAAAATAAATGTTTAACACAAAAAGTAAACTTTGACTTTTTGATGTCTAATCTCCTAAACCAATCAACAAATCTCCCAAAAATATTTAGGTCGCCCCAATTTGTGATTTTATTCTTACAATAACTAGCAGTCCAAGTATGCATTTACATCAACATGTCTAACAAACTACAAGCGTTTCATAAATGATCCCAGGAAGTTAATATGATTGTCAGTGACACCTGTTCTCTTGTGAACGTTTACGGGCTCAAAAACACTAAAATCTGAGCCCTTGTATTGCTCTCACATGCCTTATGATGATCACATTACTTCTTCCTGTAAGTCATGTGATTCTTTCTTGCTGGCAGCATATAGCTCTCTTGTGTAACAGTGCTGACGAAGAATGATCCAATCACTTGGGCTCTCAAATATTTTGTGTGACCTCCTCTGTGCTGGCTTTTCATTAACTCATACCTGCTGATTTGCCTCTGTACTTTCCCTTTCTTGTCTTTATTGTAACTAAAAGTGAAATCATCTCACTGTCGTATGTTGGAATCCCCCTTTTGGGACTTCCTCCCCCCTTCCCTCCTCTTCCTTTCCTCCACAGTAGGCTGCCTGCTCTATATGTGGCACATGGAGTCGCTTTAGGAATCCAGTCCAAATGTTTTCCATATTAGTTCAGAGCCTTCTCTGTTTCCAAATAGCAGACGAGCTGTGCTTATGGTGAGAGGAGGCCTTGGCAGGGAGGGGAAGGGAAGTTGAGAGAGACAGACGGCAGGCAGGCTTATCCACCCCAAACACTGCAACAGTAAAAGTCGAGTGTACAGAACGAGAAAAAAGAGGAGAAATGGGGCAGGGGCAGAAAGGTTCCTCAGACAAGGAGGAGAAGAAGAAGAAGAAGAGAGATGAAAGCCCAGCGCCAGAGGACAGCCATAAGTGCAGAGTCTGTCGCTTCCCTCTGCTCGTCGCCCTGCTCCAGCTGCTGTTGGGGGCGGCCGTCACAGTCGTGGCCTTCCTTATGTTGGCCATCAGCCCCTCACTCATGGCCCGGGAGACGCCACACTGGGCTGGAATCATTGTAAGCTCCGTCATTACGCTTTAACATCATACACACTACATGTTTGCATGGATCCCCATTAGTGATACGCCTGCATGACCCTCAGCTATTCCCTCCTTGTGTGTTGTCCATCTTCCTGTCCTCCCCACTGCACGTCAACACTGGCCTTCTCAGCCAGACGCTCACTATAGGCATGGGAAGTCACTCTTTTTGCCATGTTCTAATAAATCTCCATCTGTCATATTCATCTGAATCTACAATCCGTCGCAGTCACATAAGCATGCTCACCTTCTGTTGTTTTTGTTCTATGTCCAACACATCCTCAACATCTGGCCTGATGAGACTGGCAAGCTAACTACAGCATGTCATATTGAAATGGCTTGACTTCAAAACAGAAAGATGAAAGCTAAGCGGAATATTTTATTCAAGTTGATGTGTTTAATAAGGTGTCATTTTAAAAGAGTTACAAGAAAATGCTTAGTTTTCTAAAGATTAGTTGGTCTTGAATTGTCTTCAAATGGAAACTCCTTGCATGTGAACGTTTGTATGGAGGTTGTAGTTTAAGTTGATAAACTTAGGGGAGTCAAAGTGTAAGTTAAAGTGCAGGTACAGGCAAGCGTTGATAGGGGTGGAAAGTTTACACATTTAAGCCCTGGAAGTTTAGTCAATTTGTTTGGAATCACTTAGAAAATGTAAACTAATGATTTGTGTATGCCAGTTAGCCTATAAACTGTGCTAAGTGAAGTGTCTCGACAGACACCATGTAACAAGCTAAAAGTACAGTTCAAGTACACTTTACTAAAACTGTTAAATGTTTAAACACTTTAAAGCAAAAAAAGGTTAATTGTCTTTTAATATAAAAGGACAACATAGTGTAGTTTACTTATCATCCAATTTGGAATGGGAATTAAGGTCACATTTTTGTGATAGGAAAAACAATGTGTTGTTCCTGTTTGGATCCTAGCTTATCACAGACGCCATTTGCCTCTCAAAAACATCCCTGGACACCAACATCCCGAGGTAGATCCTCACGAGATTCAGCCAAGTGAAAAACACTGAGGTCATCGAGAACTTTCCAGAGAATCCTGAGTACTTAAGAACCTGAGAAAAACATTAAAATAAGATGCTGCACGCCAGTCACAAGACTGCAAATACACTGAAGAGAATGTGAGTGTGTCCGTGAGAAAGAGATAGAGAGAGAAAGGGAGAGAGAGAGAGAGAGATGGAGAGATGTAATGTAATCAGATGACAGCTTAGTGCTGAATCGTGCAATATTAAGAGATACTCATGAAAACCTGGGCAAAAAATACTATCTTGACACAACACTATCTCTACAACACATACTGCACATCATCTACATTTATTACCATCAGTGGATAAGAGAAAAAGCAAGATAGGATGGTGAAATACTACAAAATGTGTATTATGTTGGTATTTTCATTGCACTAATGAGTGGCTTTTAAGCAAACATTTACAATGTCTTCTGATGTGTTGTTGCAGCTTTGTTTAGTTTCTATCCTGGGCTTAATCCTGTACTGTATCAATTACCACCCTGATGAAAGATCATCTATCCAGTTCATTGTCAAGGTGAGTGTACACACCCTGCTTGACACATTGTTTGCAGAAGTGGAAGTTAACATATCAGTTTGTGATGGACAACCTTTTGTAAAAGTCAGATTCCTTTATTAATGCACAATAGGTCTCTTTGAAATTGACCAGAGGAATATATTGTAGTGTTCATTTTACGAAGAGTAATGATCAGACAGGTCAATGTATTTTCTTTGCAGAGAACAAAGTTGAACTCAGTGAGTGTGTGTAATTGTTAGATGGCTGTTCTTACAGTAAGGAACTGCAACTTTAAATGAGAGACAGAAAGGCATTTAGCTGCATTCTTGTTTAAGAGAGCTCTGTGGGGATTCCTGGGAGTGGATGAGTGCATTCATTAATCCGACTTGATTGTACAGCTTAATTAGCCGTACAACATATGCAGTTGGAATTTCAGGGCAATTAAAATCAGTCCTCCATTGTTTGCTACTGAGAAGCCGGTCCTTGGAAGCAGCAACCTCAGTCAGTCAGTCTCGCGTTTGCATACCAGGTTCAAATATGCTCATTGGCTGTGAAGAGAGGGCTTCAAAACACTTCAATGGTATTTTGCCTTAAGAACTGCAGCTAATTTGCAAAATAGTCTTTGCAGAAAGGCATCATAAAAAGCCAATTCAAAGTGGGTATGTGTCGTTGGTGTTACATTTTGAAGGTTAGAATTTCAGTGCTATGTTTCCAGTGTTCATTTCAAAACCTCTGTTACCTAATGACCTAACTAGAGTACATTATTATTTTTAACTTAAACATTTATGACTTTAAAATCAGTTTGTTTATTTCAATGTGCACTTGAAGCAAGGTAAGCGACAACCCAAATAAGTATAAAATATGCTGCAACTGGAGACAATTCTGAATTTAAGCGTTACTATGTTGACAGATGAAGATTACCCATTCAACATAGTTTACTGAGTTAAACCCTAAAAGCGTTCTAAGACCACAGAGGTACTGTAAACAATAACAATGTAAGTGTTGGCTCCTTTCAGTTTGTCTTTAGGTCAACACTAAATATATAAGTAGATCCTCTTGTCTATGCACATGCTGTCCATACATTTCCCTCTAACAGACCATGCTCTAGATTTCACAGCTGTTCCAAAATGAACATAAATGATGTTTCAAATCAAGCACCGCTCATCACTTCCATAATTCCATAAGCAGCATGTAACTGAGGGGAAATACACAGGGCGAACGATGGCTCCCGTTACATAACCAAAGGATTCAAACAAAGGTTTAGTGTTATTGAGATTGTGCAATTGCATAAACAACACAAAGCCTCTGTCACATTTCAAAACTCTATTTTTTAGACTCTGTTGTTCTCACTAAAGGTGGGAAGCGGCTGTAGCTGCAGGGCAATCTTACATTTTTGTGTGTCTCCTCTGCACATAAGAGCTGTACTCCTACACTGAGGGTCAGCCCATGCCTTGTATTGTACATAATCTCTTTGAATGTAACTTGCTGTAGGCACTGAGCCAGCATGTCTGTCTCGTAGCTAAGTGAGTTAATCACACAGAATGAAGCAGGGAACAGGCTTTCAGTATAAAGGTTTTCTGATCAAAGCTTCAAAGGCTAAACAGCATGACCTCTGACTTGACCTCTGCCCTCCACAGCTCCTATACTTCGTCTTGTGTACGATCGGCCTGGTCATCTCAGTGCTGGTTATTGCCTTCTCCGGACACCATTACTCTCAGACCGGCAGCTTCAGGTGTCAGCAGGCGGGCGAGGACTGCGTGTGCAGACTGGATCAAGAGGACCCAATAGCTCGCACCTTCAGCTATGAGGGGGTCAGTGACTGCGAGGCGATCACCGGGACCCTCACCCTCTACTTCCTGCTGCAGATCGTTCTCAACCTGCTCCAAGCAGTGGTGTGTGCCATCGGGGCCTTCATCATGTGGAAGCACCGCTACCAGGTGTTCTTCGCCGGCCTTCAGATTGGCTCCTCCTCCTCCCAGTGGCAGAACGTTTAACACGCCCATGACAGAGTTGAAAGATGACTCTGGTCAGGGCGGAGGGTAATACCTTCAGCTTGAGTGACGGGGACATGTGCCTTTTTGGTTTGTGCCTAAGCTTGTTTTCATTGATGTCAATTTATATTAACCTTTTGTGATAGTTTTTCTATAATAGCTTTTTGCACACATTTTGTATACCATATAAGTCATATTTTTTCCAGTTGCCAATGTTATAATGTAGATGAAGAGATACAATACAGCTGCTTTGCTTTGAGAAGTAAGTGTTCCACTTGTGACTTATTCCTGTTTCTAATTATCTGGATATGTACTGCTCATATGCAATATGTTGACAAAGGTCAAACAACAGTGAAACCAATGTAGTGCATCTGTTATGCAAAAGAGTACACGTCTTGTTTTGGGTTTGAATTATTAAGAATACATACTTATAATTAGTTGCTATATTGATGCTTTACAGTAGGTCGCGCACTACTTCGTTGTCACATTATAGTTTGAAAAATGTAAATCAATGGCAGAGTTTCACACATTACACATGTCAAGTGTATATTGCACGATAATATTAATAATTATTGGTGAAGTACTTTACAGCTGATAGAAGAACCCCCTGTGATAGAAACAGTCCAGTAAAATGCACCAAGAACAGCTCCTGACAGCAGTAACACAAGCTGGGCGGTGTGCACTTCGTGAGGCTGGATCCTGACGTGAACTGGGCTGTGAGGGTGGAAGCCAGGCCAGCAGCCAGCATGACTCAAACAGCCTGTAGGAGTCAACACTGCAGCCGGCAAAGGGGAGGGGGGGAAGGGGGCCGGGGGGAGGCAAGGGGGACTCAGACAGGCAGCTGCACGGAGGAAACTAAATCATCTCGCTGTGTTTACGTTTCAGGTGTTTTCATTTAGGTATTACAGAACTGAAGGAGCGAAACAGCCAAAACATTTTAGCGTTTCTTTTCAAATATGATTTCCCCATAGCAGAGGTTTTATGTTGTGCTCACTCTCATCTCAGTTGCTGACTGAGGTTAGCTGCATATACATGCTCGGCAGGGTTTCCACAGAAAACAAGATTAATTAAGTGCTTGGAAGCAGAATGTAATTAGTGTGCAATGTTACATCTGTTTTGTCAAAGATTAAAAAAGGTATGATGTTAAAATATATATTATTTTTTTTACAGAATATGGTTTGAACAAAGAAGCCAATAAGCAAATATCATCTTTCAACAATGCTATACTGTTTCTTGTGACAAATACAAATCTTAGTTTCAGTTAATACGATTTATTTTATGTTTTTCTGTCACCACACAGACACAAAAAGAGCCAACTCAGGTAACATCACTCATATTTGAATACATATATTTGCTTTAGTTGTCAATTGTATTATTATTTTTAAAGACTGAATAACTGAGCAGAATAAGAACCAGAAAGCATAATTTAAACTGTTGTATACTATATTGTTATAAACAAGAACTCAGATACTTGAAGTTATGAAAAATGTAAGAAATAAAAATAATTCTCTCTAAGGTAAACATGTGAAGGTGCATAACAGAAATAGTCAAGTAAAGCAAAAGTACCTCATCCTATTACTTAAGTACAGTACTTACATAACCTTAATCATATTATAACAAAATGTTTCAATCACCATCTCAATCTATAACTATGTAGTTCTTAATATACCGTTTATATAGTTCTTCTTATGACTAATCTGTGGCACCACCAAGAGACAAAGGCGCCTCTGTCTGGGCCTGGCAGTGATCTACTGTGATCATAACTGTCAATGTATTCAAGTTAACTGTGACTGCTCAGTTTTTTTTCTTTGGAGACATTATGAGAATTTCAGAGCTCCGTTTGACAATACTCAGCAGAGAATCACCAGGGTAATAAAAGATGTGGTGAATTGCTTTGTAAATTATTAACAAATTCTGTTAAATCATGCATTTCACACATTGTACTTTCTGCATCTGCATCTAATGGAGGGCCAGCTCAGTTGCAGCGTTTTTCCGTGTGATTGTCCAGTGTTTTCATGTTGATGCATCATGTGACTACAACAGGCTCAATCTCACCAGACACAGGAAGTCACATGCCAGTCATCACAGGGGCATGTTTATTTAAAAAAGAAATGACAGTGAGAGAGAACTTCCTCCCTCCTCCCCGGTCAGTCACAACTCTCTGTGTGGCCAATTGATCTTTCAAGGCAAAACACGCAGATTGATATCAGATGGTGGGGACGCATGCTGTTAGTCTTTACAAGAGATTGCAGGAGACAGAAGATCAATATGTGTATTGACACTAAACATGAAAACTTTCTCAGGAAGTTGAAAACAACCGACTGAATTCTCACCCAGTATTCTAATTAACGAGCTTCTGTTGGTATATCAACATGTTTATAACCAGTTGAATATGACTATAGTTTAGTGTAAGGCAAGACACTAAAGGCAAACAAGTATATTTTGATTCCATGAGATACATTACATTCAGGTGTTCATTTTACTTTGTCTATTTGCATCTGTAGATCTTTTTATTTTAGCCTTTTTATATACAATCTATGATTTAACCCTGTTAACCTGTTGTGACTGGTATTGAATTTTAAAATACATTTCTTTGAAGTCTGTTTTCTCATAACAAGTTTTTTCTAACCCTGTGAACAAGAAATCTCCACTTCAGTAGCACTTACATAACCAACGCTTTCCAGTTTCATTCCCAGCTATAGGAGTTTATTCATATTTAATTTAAAGCCTGACTTAAAGGTCCCATGACATGGCAATTTTTACTGATCATAATTCCATTGTTGAGGTCTATTAGAATAGATTTATACTGTGCAAATTTCCAAACTCACATTGGTTTCTCATACAGCATCGTTGTATAGTATGTGTATTCACTCTCTGTCCTTAACGGCTTGTTGGAGCTCCTGCCCCCCCATCCCTGTGAGCCTAGTTTGCTCCGATTGGTCAGCTCGGCCACTCTGTTCTGATTAGTAAACCACCAGAGAGGCTCCGCCCATGTTTAACACAGTGCTTTTATCAGCTCTGAGCGGAACATCAGTTTTACAATGGCGTTGGTACAGCCGTATCTGTTTGAGCCGGAGTCCGATCCTGAAAGTGAGACAAACCAACGTGATAGACCTGATCCACCGTCCCAAACTAGACTAGAGCAGACGGTTTCACAGTGGAACATTTTTATTTAGTATCGCTCTTACATTTCAGATGTTAGAACTGCATCATTTATCTACATCACAGTAACAAGTTTGTCCGCTAACTAACCAAACTGTATCTACAACTGTTGTTATTTAGGTGCACTTGTGGAAACTGCGCCATGATGCCTACCGAAGTGGAAAACGTCTCTGCTGCAAAGAAATTAGAAAGGTAGCCAAGCTGACAGTTACAACATTATGTAGCCAGCTAGCTGAAAACACCAACAGTAGCATACAACATTATATGCCAAGATATAGACCATACATATTTGTCAAGTCAATAGACTATTATATGCACTTTTATTACTTCCTTAGTAATTGAATGTTTATTTTGTAAACCTTGCCATAGTTGATTTAATTGTTAAACGTGTTATGTAACAAATATCTTACCTTCCTATAGGTTGTAAAACAAATGAACCAAGTCCCAGTACCTATTATGTACAGCACCCAGGACTAGAGCCAAACTTTCTCAACCCATACACCCTGCAGAACCTCCATAACATGTACAGATTTGATTATGGACCTTTGACGCGTAGAACGGAAGAGTAAGTTATTCTTACCTGTAATAAACAACTACTGTGTTTGATGAAAAATCGAATCATGGTTTGCTATCTATGAATGATATGTTATAGGAGCAAATAATTCAGGGAAGAAAGGCTACTAAGTATTTCCATCAAACTTTATTTTTAGAAATGTACATAATGTGTAAATATACATATATACACTGTATATCATCCATTCCTCCCCTCATAGGCGTTTTCGGCATCTTGCCTATCACAGCTTTGTAAGCTGGTGCTGGGGATTTTTAGGACGAGGCATAAGAGTGGTCATCCCGTCATGTGTTGTCCGCCGGATACGCCAGGAGTTTCCTGATCTGGCTGGACAGTATGTTGGCTTCCGACCTCCCCTTGACTGAAACGGGAGACATGGCGGGCAACCAGTTCCTCCTTTGAGGGCTTGTCATCCTTTGGGATGGGGATTGTATTCATCTCCTCCACAAAGGGTGTTGGGTCCGACTGTACTGGAGCGGTGGTGGGTACCGTGGTTCTGCTGAGATGTACTCTAACAAATATAAACATAACATTCATAAAATTAATTTTGTATCCGATGAAAACAGTCAATTTTATAAAAGCAACACTTTCTGGGACACATTCCTAACGAAATCAAATGCAAATCACAAAATATTAGAGAAACTTAGTTGTTTTAGGTTTGTTAGCTTGCCAGCTAGATTAATATGCTAACTTACGTTTGCTAGTTGTTC